TAGGTTCTCTTTTGACTCTTTTGGAGAAGTCTTTGGAAGCACATAAAAATTTAATTTTTAGAAGGTCCCAATCATCTGGCTTTTTCTTCTGCTGTTCATTTTTACCAGTTTTTATATATACTATGTATATGTGTGTGTTTCTATGTGAAGATTTTCATAACCACCACTGCCCACTGGATATAGAATTGTTGGATCACCATAGACCAGCTTCTATGTTAACTGTATACATGTGCCCATTTTCTTCTTTTCTACATGTGCACTCACACACATAGTGTATTCTCTGCCAAGAAGTTTTTTTTTTTAAACATTGAGATTTGGATGAAAGTATACAGAGCTAATCATTTCATCAGTTCACACATTTTGTTTCATTTCATTGATTGTAATCTCTTCAGTGTAACCTCTCTTCTCCCACTTCTTCCCTATGTTTCTTCCATTCCTCCTTTCTTAACCCTTCATGTCTTCTGAACTCTGTCCTTGGGCAAATGCTGCCCTTTTGATCTAGAAAAGTTGATTGTTAAAAAGATGTGTACCTTCCCAGAGTTACACATACAGACTTTGTCTGTTGTTTGGCTGAAAATTCAGGTACAGGAGTGAGTTCAATTCCAGGTCTGAAGGATGAACAAAGGCCACAATCTTAGGAGTTCCAGCGGTCTCTGTCCAATCTGTAAGCCTGGTCTTTTTTTGTGGTTTTGAGTTTAATTCCACCCTTTTCAGAACAGTTGGTGGTGGTACCCGGGCACCATCTAGTTTTTCTAGTCTCAGGGTTGTGGAGGATAAGGTTTACTAATGTTCTTTGAACTAATTGTTTTGATGTATGTTTGATTTTCCTCACTCTTCTTTACTTTGGACAGGGAGAGAACAATAGTTGACCCTTAGATGTCTGCTCAAAACCTTTTAAAAACCCAGTCTCTACTCACCAAAGTAAGATATAGAACCTTGATTTTGTGGACCATATTGTGCCAGTTGACCTTGATGTCCCCAAAACTATGATTCTCAGTCCTCAGTCCCCTGGCCCAGTGACTCACTCCCTCAGGGTTTTTGATTATAGCTAAGACGTTTTCATAACTTTGCCCCCTGTATGCTCTACTATATTCGTGGATGTATTTGCAGTATATGTTAATACTTATGTAGAATTTATCGTCTGTCAAGCCTATACATATTTATGAGTATAGTTCCATTCTTCTTACCACACCTGTTCAGCTTGCATGTCTATCTTTGTATCTACTCATATATTATTGTTTTTACTGTTATTGCAGGGTTATGTATGAATTAGTGTTAACTTCTGTTGCCTTTACCTCTTGTACTTCTCCCAGCATCTTCCTTTCCTTCATCATTTTCTGCTGACCTGCTCTTTATTGTATATTGCCTTCCTCTTCACCCAGGTTAGTAATGTGTCTACCCTCTAGTTACTGGTTTACCGTCCCTTTCTCTCCCAACCCTTATGACCATCAAAGAATACTCCTTTTTGTGTGAAAATCTTTTTTTGACTTTTTACAGTAGTGGTCTCATACAGTGTTTGTGCTTTTGTGATTGACTAATTTCCCTCAGTCTAAGGGCCTCTTGTTTCATCCATGTTATAAAATGTTTGACAGATTGATCATTGTTCTTTTCTTCCGTAGTATTCCATTGTGTGTATGTACCATAGTTGGTTTATCCATTCATCTGCTTATGAGCATTTAAGTTGTTTTCGTCTTTAGCAATAGTGAATAGTGCTGCAGTGAATATGGGCATGCATTTATCTGTTCATGTCATGGCTATTATTTCTGAAGGACATATACATAATAGTGAGATTACTGGATCATCTGAGATTTCATTTCCAGATTTTTAAGGATGCGCCATAGCGTTCTCCATAATGGTTGTACCATTTTAGTCCCACCGGGGAGCTCTGGAAGTGTAGTGCCTAAGGCAATTAACTGCTAACCAGAAGGCTGGTGGTTCAAAGCCACCAACTACTCCTCGGAAGGAGGGTTGGGCAATCTACTTCCATAGTGATAACGCCTTGGAAACCCAAGGAAGGGTCGCTGTGAGTCGGGTCTGACTCAACAGTACGTAACAACAACAGCAGCGTGTGAGGGTTCTAGTCTCTCCACACCCTCACCAGAGTTTGTTATTTTTGAACTGTGCCATTAGTGCTGGGGTGAGATGATATCTCGTTGTTTTGATTTGCATCTCTCTAATGATCACAAACATCTCTTCATGTGTTTGTTGGCTGCCTGTGTCGTCTTTAGTGAAGTGTCTATTTATGCCCTCTTCTCTGGTAGCGTAGTACCTAAGGCATTTGACTGCTAACCAGAAAGCTGGTGGTTCAAACCCACCAGCCACTTCACGGAAGGCAGACTGGCCAATCTACTTCTATAGAGATACTGCGTCAGAAACCCAAGGAGGGATCACAGTGAGTCGGGAACAAGTTGACGACAGTGAGTTTGGTTTGGTTTTAGTGTCCATCTTTTAATTAGATTGTCTTTTTGTTGTTGAGGTATGGAAGTTTTCTAAAAATTTTAGAGATTAGCCCCTTGTCTAATGTGTTGTTGCCAAAAATTATTTCCCAAACTGTGTTGTTCTCTTTTTATTCTGGCTAAAATCTTTTGATACCTAATTTTCAGGAGGTCCCAGTCATCTATTTTTTTCCCCTGGTGTTTTGTTCCCACAAGTTTTTATGATCATTTCCTTCAATCTTACAACAGTTTTAGGTAGTGAACACAGTTTGTCAAGAAGAACTTCAGAACATTCTTTTTTTGGAAGAAAGCTCAGCAATTATCCTTTGGTAATTCTCACAGAATATAAATTGTAACAAAGAATTGCCTTTAACAATAGAGTCTTTGTGATCTTGATGAATATTAATGATGACATGCAAAAGTCCATGGAAGAAATTTAGTTTCAAACAGGTAAGGTCAGGAAAATTAGTAGTCGATGTGTTCCTCTCTCTCTTCTCCACAAAAACTTAAACAGTCTGGCCATTGAAATGAGAAAGAAGGTAGAAACAGCTCCTAACAAACTTTAGTTATCTGACTTGCATCTTAAAATTACCAAAATAGTGAAAAACTTTCTATGGCAGATAGAAACAATTATTTTAATGATAGATTTATTGAGGTATAATTTATGTACGATTCATTACTTTAAAACATACAATTTAGTAGTTTTTAGTATCCTCACAGAGTTGTACAACAATGACCTCAGTCAACTTTAGAACATTGTCATCATTCTAAAAAGAAACTTTGTACTTACTAGCAGTCACTGCATTTTCCTCAACCCTCTCAGCCCAATGTAACCCCAGTGGCTCTTCTGGATGTTATGTACAAGTGGAATCATCCAATATGTGGCCTTTGTGACTGGTCTCTTTCACTCAGCATAATATTTTCAAGGTTCAAGCATGTGGTAGAGATAATTTAATACAGACAGTCCCCAGGTTACCAATGTTTAACTTTGGACCTTTAATGCAGGGCTTCAAATTGATTCTGTCACGGCCGATGAAAGGGAGATGGGAACAGACCTGAATTTTTACAGTTTGGGTGATTTGTCTTAGTTACTAGAACAGAAGAAATTACATGTTGAAGCCTTGGAATGAAAGACTCAGAAGAGGCATAGGGAGTCCTTTTAGGAATCTTATACGTGAGAATGAATGCAGGACTATGGAAAGTCACATGCATTCAGAGTGGTGCGATTGGCTGCCCTCTTTGAGCAGGTTATGCCATCTTTGTGAGAGGCAGTGCTGTTTCAAAGTCTTGTTTTAATATTATGTAAATCTGCCCTCATTTTGAAACAATTGGACCAACCCCTTCTCTCAACAAATTCTTCATCACAGTCACTTTCATTTGCTGCACATGCAGTTTTTAAATCATTGAAAAAGCTTCGAGCTTTTTCTTACACTAAAATGAGGATAAATAAGAACAGTATGCACCTTTTCCTACTTCTCTACAAATTCTTAAAGACACAGGAATAGATCTCTTGCATAACCTTAGGACTGCCTGTGTAAAGAAAGTTTAATTTAACCAGGTATTAGAGAACTAAAAAGACAAAAAGGGAATGAATACTAGGGTATCATGGGCATGGCATCTGCATTAAGAATTAATAATGACATGTTAATATTCATTCACTCCTAGGGCTTGGGGAACCAAGAATGGGTTGGAATTATTAAAATTTAATAGTTTGAGGACATGACCTGCAGAGCTGGGATGTTGCTAGGGTAGTCCTGGTGCTTCCAGAGCAATGAAAAGGAGCCTGTGGATCTGTGATCTGAACCTCTAGGAAGATACCTTATTGGCTGGTGCTAGTGTCTCTGAGGAAGCTCTGGTAGCATAGTGCCTAATGCACTTGACCACTAACCAGAAGGCTGGCGGTTGAAACCCAAGGAGGGGTTGCTCTGAGTCGGGTCCAACTCAACAGCACATAACAACAACAGTGTCTCTGAGGATATGTTATGAAACTGGCTCTGCAAATGTTGGGAAAACGGTAACTGGAGTTGGCAGTTGCTTACTGGAATGAACTACTACTGCCAGGATAAAGAAGCATTATCCTAGGATGTTTCTGTTAACAGGGGCCAGCAAACAGGAAAGAAGGTCCATTCTTCTCCACCCTTTGCAGACTTCCTTTATTGGCACCTATTGGCAGAGACTAACAGGTGTTAGTTGGCAAAGGAGAAATATGGTTTTCAGAGTCCTAGTTCCAGCATCATAAAACAGAGTCTAAAAGGGTGGATCTGAAGCTGACAGCCAGTAGCCGGATAACCCCACAAAATGCAGTTTGATAGAATGATTAGAAAATGGCTTAGTGAGAATATGTATAGTAACCTCATTATTCTAGTCATTAGGTGAGGACCCCAGAATATTCTAAAGCACAGTGTTCTCCAATTGATTAAATAGTGCTCATTTGATTACATATAGCTTTAATAAAACATAAAATGTGGATCTGAGCAAAGTACAGTATTTTACAGACTTGGACACTAGCTTATAAGACATTATATTTTTTTGTGCTACTGTGAAAGAAAAAAAATACTGACTATTATCATTTAAGACACCATCAATTTTAACATGTTTTATAATTTCATTAAATATGAAAAATGTGTTTTAAAAGTGAAGAAACACAGTATGTTACTTTCTGTTTTCTGGTTATTATAGCTGATGGTAAATAGCACCATCAAAGTATTCTTCATAATAGCTAATACGGTAATTACAAGGTTCGGCTCTGAAGTCAGAGTATATAGATTCACATTTGTCCACTTACTAGCTTGCAAGTTTTGGTTTGTCTATGTCTCAGATTTTTCGTCTGTTAAGTGGGAAGCCAGAATAGTGTTTATGTTGAAGGTGTGAAGTGAAAATCTGGAGATGATTAATTCATGTGAAGTGGTTACCACGATGCAAAGTAGTTTGTGCAATGTAGTTAAAATGTATTAAATGTTAACCATTATTAGGGGTCAAGATCATAAAAAACAGTATGCACAATATGCTGAGGAAATTATGCCTAGTACTTCAGAACTGTTAACTAAAAACTCAACAGCCGTCGAGTTGGATCCGACTCATAGTGACCCCTCCTTGGGTTTCTGAGGCGGTATCACTATGGAAGTAGATTGCCCAACCTTCCTTCCGAAGAGTGGCTGGTGGGTTTGAACCGGTTAGCAGTCTAATGCCTTAAGCACTACGCCACCAGAGCTCCCATTCAGGACAGCAATTTAATTTCCTCTTCTTCTTCTTTTTTTTTTTTCCTAAATTTTGATTTGATTGAAGGTTTATGGTGCAGATTAGTTTTCCATTCAACAATTCATACACATTTTGTTCTGTGACATTCATTATAATTCCCACAATGTAACCACTCTTGCACCACTTCTCTCTGTTACCGGGCCCTTTGTTTTCCTTTCCTGTCCCTTGCTGCCGTCTTGGCTTTATCCCTGGGCAAATGTTGCCCTTTTCTTCTCGTGTGGTTGATTGAGCTGAGTGTGTATCTTCCCAGTACACCTTATAGCCCTGTGTGTTTGGCAGAAAGTTGAGCCACAAGGGTAAGTTCAGTTCCAGGTCTGAAAAGGACCATAGTATCAGGGTTCCATCAGTCTCTATCAGACCAGTAACCCTGGTCTTTTTCATGGTTCTGAGTTTTATTCCACATTTTTCTCCCACTCTGTCTGGGAACTCCTATCGTGCGTGATCTCTTTCAGAGTAGTCAACAGTAGTAGGTGGGTATCATCTAGTTCTTCTGGTCTCTGGGTCTTAGAGGCTGGGGTTCCATGGACCTCTGGACTAATTATGTCCTTGGGTCCTTGATTTTCTTTACTCTCTTTGCTCCAGATGGGGAAGTAATTTGACTTCTTACTGAAAGAATGAGATGAACTCTCTCTCTCTCTTACCTGTGTATCTTCTGTGATGTGCTACTGTATGAAGAAGATTGTGTTTATTTAGATTTCTTTATCCTCTTTGAGATTGGGTATAGGAAGATGGAAAACTTGATGTGTACTCTGCAAGATGAAAATATTAGGAGAAACATTAAAATATAGTAGATAATTAGCTGGAAAATATCAAACCAGGCTATAGAGTATTCATAGAACATTAAAACTTGGCTCCTTAATCAAGATCTTAGTTTTGATTTTAATTCCCCTAGTTCAGAACCTTTTTCTTTTTCTGTCAGTCTCCTACAACTATTTCTGTTACATAGAATGTATGATGCAGTATGTAAATGATGTACTTTTATTTCAAGTAATCAACAGTATTTTTTTTAATTCAATTTTTGTGTTGAGAATATACACAGTAAAATATATACCAATTCAGCATTCATTTACTGTGTACACAAGTTAGTGACATTGATTACATTCTTGGATTTGTGCAATCTTTCTCACCCTCCCTTTCTGAGTTCTTCCCTAGTTAACAAACTCAATGACTCTGTAATAGCCTTTATTTCATTTTTTAATTTTATTGTGATTTGAGTGAAAGTTTACAAAGCAAATTCATTTTCCATAGAGCCATTCATACACATTTTGTTTCATGACATTAACTACAGTTCCCCACAATGTAATTCTTTTTCTGCCTCAGGTGTCAAAATTAGTACCTTTGCTTTGAGCTAAGCACAAGATTTTAATATTATGTTTCTCAAATTTAGGTAATAGTCACTATAAACATGTCATTTTAGTTTTCATGTGATGTATTCAGTTATCTAAAGTTACTGATTTTTCTTGTCTTTCAGGTGGCTTTCTTTCAGATGCAGGCTGGTACAGTGATGCTGAGAAAGTTTTTCTGTCCTGCTATCAGTTGTGTACTATACATGATGAGATGCTTCATTGGTTTCGTGCAGTAGAATGTTGTGTGAGGTAAGTTGGAACCAATTATATGCTGTAATAGTACTGGGTGACTTTTATAGTTTTAGTCCTTTAAGAGTCTACAGAAGCTGCAGTTAAGAAATCAAATATATCACATTGAAAAACCCTGCTCCAAAAGACCTCTTTAAAGTCCTAATAAGCAAAGTTGTCACTTTGAAGACTAAAGTGTGCCTGACCCAAGCAGTCACATCATACACCTATGAAACTGGACAGTGATAAAAAAGAAGAAGAATCAGTGCATTTGAATTGGGGTATTGATGAAGAATTTTGAGTGCCATGGATTACCAGCAGAACAAACAAATCTATCTTGGAAGAAGTTCAGCCAGAATGCTCCTTAGAAGCAAGGATGGTAAAACTTCGTTTTGCTTTCTTTGAACATGCAGTCAGGAAAGACCACTTGCTAAAAAAGGACATCCTGTTTGATGAAATGCAGGGTCAGCAAAAATGAGGGAAACTCTTAATAAGATGGATTGACAAAATAGCCTCAACATTCGGTTCAAACATATCTAAGAGCATGACGATGAGCAGTATGGAGATGAGCAGTATTTTTGTTCTGTAATACATAAGGTTAATGAGTCGGAGATGACTCCATGGCACCTAACTACAAGTCTATTTAAACATTTGAATAAACATCTAAGATGATATTTATATGGCACTATGGTGCTACTCCAGGAGCTCTGATAGCATAGTGGCTAAGGCACTTGACTGCTAACCAGAAGGCCGGCGGTTCAAATCCGCCAGCCACTCCTCGGAAAGAAGATGGGGCAATCTACTTCCGTAGTAATACTGCCTCAGAAACCCAAGGAGGGGTCGCTATGAGTCGGGTCTGACTCGACGGCACGTAACAACAACAACATAGTACTAGTCCAGCCTTTTTTCTCTTATCTCCAAAATACAGTTTACTACAGACATGTTAGCTTAGATTTGCTTGTTATGAACCAGACATTAGGTATCTTTTCTCTCTGTCATAGAGCTTGTTTATTCATTTATTCAACAAATACTTATTGAATTGTTACTGCATACCAAGAGTTATACTAGGCATTGGGTGCTAGGGAACTCAATAAAGGTACTTTTTTCTTGAGTTTTATTTTTTTACCTGTATGTACTTGGTTTACATTTCCAGAATTGTGCATAGCAAAATTAGTATTTTACTTACAAACAATGTTTTATTTCCAAATATATTTTCTTCATGGATGTACTTAAAGTAAAAGCAAACAAACGTAGAAGTAAACTTGGAATATTTTGACACATCTCTTTTGTTTGTTTTTTTCCTTTTAGTTCTTACCTGTTATACCTTTGATTTCTTTCACTCTTTTTTTTTTTTTTTTGCTATCAGTGCAGTATTAACTCTTTGCTTTTACTATCCTTATTTTCTCTACAAATGTAACATTTATTTATTTTGAAAAAATTTTATTGTGGTGAAGTATATATTATAAATTAACATTTAGCTTTAACTATTTTCATGTAAGTTTTCTCTCTAACCATTGATTTGGCATTCATTAAAAAGAATTTTTTATAAAATTGAAAGAAAATAAAAATACAGTCAAAAAATAAAATAGCAGAAATTCCTTGCCCTAAGTTAACTAAAGTCTAGTCAGTTTACTAAGTTTTCAGTCTTGTCTATTTGTGGAAAAAAGGCTCATATTTCTTTGTTAGCATAGAGATGAGTTCATTAAATCTGAATCTCTTCAGAGCTAGAATATAGATTCATGTGTAAAACCATTATTGGTTTAAGCTAAAATGGAATAAAGCTCTTTTTTTTAACTTTTACTGGTTAGAGGTCAGTCTTTTGAGTCTTTTTAAATAAGGTTTACCAGTGTTAGAGAAACATTCAGATCCTGAATTTAATTTTGTGATATGCTACTTTGATTATAAATGTTAGAAATTTGTGATAATTGCCCACAGATATTTTAGAAGCATATGATAAATTATAGGAATATTTTTGTGTATAAACTATAAAAACCAAAAACCAAACCCATTGCCAATTGTCAATTCTGACTCATAGCAACCCTGTAGGACAGGGTAGGACAGCCACATAGGGTTTCCAAGATTGTAAATCTTTACAGAAAAAGACTACCTCATCTTTTTCCTGTGGAACAGCTGGTGGGTTTGATGCCAGCACTTTGGTTAGCAGCCCAGTGCTTTGACCATAGTGCCACTGGAGCTCCCTGCATAAACTATGAAGAGATTGGTATTTGGGCCTATGATGAGTAAATGAAAAAACCAAACTCACTGCCATCGAGGTGATTCTGACTCATAATGACCTCAGTGGATTTCTGAGGCAGTAAATCTTTAGGAAAGTAGATTGCCCCATCTTCCTTCCACAGATTGGCTGGTAGGTCTGAATCACCAACCTTCTGGTTGGCAGTCAAATAAATGCCTTAGGCACTGTGCTACCAGAGCTCCTTTTTAGTAGTACTGTTAAAAATGGATGTTATCTTCCATCCCTTCTTTTGTCTGTGATAGGAATAGGAGATTAGGGTATCTCATGTGGGATCTTTGGGGGTAGATAAATATTTCTGTTTTTATAAACCAGTAAATTTGGAACAGAAAAGTCATTTTCTATGCTTTCATGGTCAATTCTTTTTTAGCACTTTTAACCAAAAGATAAAGCACTCTCTTCTTTTATGTCCTAACCTTTTTTTTTTTTAATATTTTGACAGCACACAACAACAGCAAATACATATGTAATAAAATATTTGCCGGTTCAACAATTTTTCCAAGTACACTTCAGTGACATTAATTATGTTCATTGTGTTCAGCCAGTACCACTATGCATTTCCAAATTTTTCCATCACTCTTAACAGTAGCACAGTGTCCCCTATGTACCCACCCCTAGTATCCACTAAGAAACTTTGGTCTGTATACATTTATCTATCCTAGGTATTTCATATAAAGTGGAATCGTACAATATTCATCCTTTTGTAATTGACTTTTTTCAGTCCTCAGAATGTTCATCCATGTTGTAACCTAACAGGATTTCATTTCTCTTATGGCTGAATAGTGTTCCATTGTACCACATTTTGTTTATCTGTTTATCTGTTAGTGGATATTTAGGCTGTTTTAACCTTTTGACTATTGTGAATAATGCCACAGTGAACATTGATGTATGTGTATCTGTTTACGTCCCTGCTTTTGAGTCTTTTGGGTATATAGGAGTAGAATTGATGATTCATACAGTAGTTCTTTCTAAGTTTAACTTTTTGAGGAACTGCCTAAATGTTTTCCACTACTGATCCATTCTACAATCCCACCAGAAATAAATGAGGGTGCCAGTTTCTCTGCATTCTTGCAAGTACCTGTTATTTTCCATTTTTTAAATCATAACCATCTTAGTGTGTATGAAGTGATAGCTTATCTGTGGTATCATTTTGCATTTTCCTGATGACATTGACATTGAGCATCTTTTTATGTACTCATAGGCCACTTCTATTTCTTCTTTGGTGAAATGTCTGTTCAAGTCCTTTGCCTATTTTTTTTATTACGTTGTCTTTTTGTTAAGCTGTTGGAGTTCTTTATATATTCTTGATATTAAATTCTTGCCAGATATATGGGTCTCAGAAAGTTTCTGTATGTTGTCTCTCTGCTTTGTTGATAAAGTTCTTTGATGTACAAAAGTTTTCAATTTTGCCCAGGTACGTGTTACCTATTTTGTCTTTTGTTGCTTACACTTTTGCTGTCGTATCTAAGAATCCATTGTTGAAAAAACTACGTCCCAAAAGATTACCCCTATGTTTTCTTCTAAGAATTTTATGGTTTAAGTTCTCACATTTATGTTTTTGATTCATTTTGAGTTAGTTTTCGTATATGGCATGAGATATGGGTGTTTGTGGACGTCCAGTTATCCCAGTGCCGTGAATTTAGCACCCTTGTTGAAAATTAGTTGACTATAGATGTACAGGTTTATTTCTGGACTCTTAATTTTATTTCACTGGTCTAGCACCAGACTAGAGCTTTACATGTTTTGACATTAGAAATGTGATTTCTTCTACTTTGTTCTTTTTCAAGACTGATTTGACTATTCAGAAATTGGCTTTTCTATTTCTACAAAGAAGGCTGTTGGAATTTTGATGGGGATTATGTTGAATCTATATAGATGGCTTTAGGTAGTATTGACATCTTAACAATATTAAATCTGCCAATCCATGAGCATGGAGTGTTTTTCCATTTATTTAGGCCTTTTAAAATTTCCTTAAGTAATATTTAATCTTTTTCAGTGTAAAACGCTTTCATTTCCTTGGTTAAATTTATTCCTAGGTATTTTATTCTTTTAGATAATGTTGCAAATGGAATTGTTTCCTTAATTTCCTTTTCTGATTGCTCCTTGTTGATGTATAAAAACCCAGATGATTTTGTGTATTGGCCTATTGTTTCCTGCCACTTTGCTGAATTCATTTATTAGCTCTAGTAGTTTTCTTGTTGAGTCCTTTGGGATTTTCTATGTATATATGATTATGTCTTCTGTGAAAAAAGAAAGTTTTACTTCTTCCTCCCAATTTGGATACCTTTTACAAATCTTTTTCTTGCCTAATTGGTCTGGCTAGAAGTATGACATTGAACAGCAGTGGTAAGAACAGGCATCCTTGTCTTATTTCTAATTTGAAAGCTCTCAGTCTTTCTCCTTTGAGTATGATGTTAGTTTTTGTGTTTTTCGTAAGTGTCTTTAATCATTTTGAGAAATTACTTTTGTATGCCTAGCTTTTTTAGTGTTTTTATCATGAAAGGGTGTTGAATTTTCAGAGATGCCTTCACTGCATCTATTGAGATAATCATGTGTTTCTTTTCCTTTGTTCTATTAATGTGTATTACATTGAATTTCTAATACTGAATCACCCATGCATTCCTGGGATAAATCCCACTTGATCAGTGTATAATCCTTTTAATATATTTTTTGGATTCAGTTTGCTAGGATTTTGTTGAAGAATTTTGCATCAATATTCAGAAGAGATATTGATCTGTAATTTTCTTCTGCTATCTTTGTTTGGCTTTGG